GTTCACCAGATGAGTGATAAAAAGGACCCAGGACTTCATTATCCCTGTATTTATTTGCTGAACCAGCATTATCTATTACCTTGATCCAATCCAGTGGCTAACAGGGAAAACAGCAACAATCTAAAGAAATATTCCATGTTTTAGACACAGCAGCAAATTAACTTTTGACGGTCACAATTAAATTAAATAAAAAATATTGGTGTTAATTTTTGACTGTGTAACTTTACAAACAACACCCCATAGATCAATGGGACTGAGGTAAAAGTCAGAGTCAGAGAGGTTTTATTGTCATTTCAGCTATGTACGAGTACATATTGAAATGAAACGGCCTTCCTCCAGGATCACGGTGCAACACAGAACATTACGTGCAAAAACAACACAACACAGTGCAGATACACAACAGTACAATAAATACAAACAGACCTTCAATAAAATGCAAAAAGCCATCTAACCTAATCTAAACATTTCAATCTAAACAAGTAATTCAGAGACAAGACTAGAGATGCATGCTGATTAGTACATGTGTAGGTGGTACATGAAGTAGAAACCAGTGGTGCAGCCTACATTTTTGTACTGTGCTTAGAAACCAAAGTACACCAGTTAGTACACTGCAATCATCAATTTATTTTGATTTTTAAGCATATTAAACATTTCAAAATGTATCTGATGCTTTTATTTGAACACATGTACAACAAACTTTGTACAACTGTTGGCTTTGTAATAAAAACGTTATGGAATTTATAAAACAGTATCAAACCAAAAGATGTTCAAGTATTAAGTTGTAAGTACAGAAGTATTAATTATACAAAAACAGGTTGAACCAACTCAGTGTGTCTATAAAATGTTCCAAATGTGCTGACAATGGCACGAGCCCATGTACAGTATGATTGCTAATGATACATGACATGTACTCGTGTCATTGGGCACTTTTAAGTGGGCATCCTGAAATTCCCACGCTTTTCTAGTGCATATACTCCGCATGCCTGCGTATCACATAGACTACACCACTAGAAACATGTTGTGACGTGAAAGTTTTTCTATTTTTATAGCAGCAGAGATATAAACTATGTAAGGTGTAAAACTGCAAAACTTGAGCAGATTGCAAAATCGTGCAAGTAAAGAAGTGATGAGAAAGCCCAGCCATCTCCAGTGCTCTATAAATCAGACATGCTTTACATTAAAAACATCAATCAAAGTCTAAATGGGTCACAGAAAGTTGGACTTTGTCTGACTGAACGGACATTTTGATGTCTCTCACGGTTTTTACACAATCGTAAAATAAGTTTTAGGACTTTTACAGACTTTTTCCATGTAATGTTCAACTGACAGTTGAAAATGTTACACACTAACCTTGAAATTGTTTAAACATTTCTAAACCTTTGCAAACATACTCTTCTGGCCCTCACAACTGTTGGGTACAAATGGAAATAATGTCAAAACATAAATATGTTTGTCTTCTATGTGTGTATCTTTTGGTGCTGTTGGAGTTTTGCCAAATCTTCCAAGAGGTCAGAGAGTGCAAAGTTAAGCTTTCATAGACTTTAGTTATATTTTAGCTTAAAAACGTTATTATTTGAGGCCTTATTTTCAGTCTGTTTCTGCCTGCCTTTCTTGAGTTTGCTGAAGAGAGACGTAGATGTGGGGTTGCCATGGTGACACTAATAAGCCACTGGCAGCAGCTTAAACATTTTTTCATGTTGATTCTTTTAAGTTAAATAATTACTAAAATGATGCTGAAATTTCAGCCAGTCTTGCCTTCATTTAAATTTTCTTTAGAAACGTTCGATTTTCCAGGTGTATTGTTCTTGTACTACTTAGCATATTTTTAGTGGAACGTTTTTCTTAGTTCATATCTTAGATCTTATTACTGTTTTTTTTACATACTTTTTGTTGGATGTAACTGGGACCCTGTGTACATAATTTCGTTCCACCACATGTACCACATGTGGTGCGAATGACAAATAACGAAACTCTGACTCAATTTTAATTGTGTTCTTGGTTGTTCGTTGTGCAAACTGCCTCTAGATGTCGTCCATAGTTTTTATTTCAAGCTCCGCACATACCACCTGTTATCCATTTGTCATCAGCACACCTGTGGTCATTCAGTAATCCTCTCCATATGGACCTTCTGCTGCTCTGCCCACTTTACCCCTTCTAGCTTTCACACCGTTTGAAGAGAATTTCCAGTTCAGCACTCGTGTCTGACATGTAAAACCAAAGAAAACCGAACCAAATTTCAGCCCATTCAGCGTTTTGTCTGCGACATCAGACGGATGAGCATCCAGCATATATCATTTCTCACTTTCTGAGAGGATTACTTGTGAAAAAGTCCTGGGATCAATTATGAAAACCTTTTAATTACACTGTAGTCTCTCACGGAGAGAAGCTTTGGCAATGAAAAACATGCAAATCTAAAAAACAGTTGTTTAGTGACACTTTTCCACACAATAGATCAGAGCTTTCTGTCAGTGATCAAAAGTTTTGAATCCTTGAAACAGACAAAACCACTCTGTGCTGCCACAGCGCAGCATGTTTCCAGTGACAAACATGGACTTTACACGTCATGTTTGTTTCTGAAATATTCCCAAAATTTAGCCAGTAAAACAGCAGAAAATAGGAACATAGCAGCACATCCATACTGGTAAAATAACTAGAGAAGCTGAAATGTTCAGAAAGTGCATCAAACAGAGCTAAGTGCTAGCTACCGCCGTGATTATTGTAATGAGCAGTTGTAATGGTCAGTATTCTGTTTTTGGTTGCACACAATTTAAATTCAAGGACGTTTCACGACTTCAATACGTAAATGTGCTGTTTTAAGTGAAGAAGGAAGTCAATATATTCCTCCTTTTATTCTCAGTGTCGTCCTCCAGGTTGTTCTTGCTCATCTCATTTTGTCTTGCACTGTAAAGCTGCTTCACATTCCTGCACCTTTATTTTCACTCACCGCCGCGCGTGACGGCGATGCCATGTTGTTTTTGTACGCCCGAGTTTGTCTGCGTCTTTAGCGAAACATCTCATGATGATGAGGTGACGTTCAAAGAAACTCTCAGAAAGAAATCATTGGTTTCACATCTACTACCTTTTGGTGTCAATCCATTCAAAATGATGGTCGCAGCAAAACAAACGCAAGAGTGGTTGTAACTCAGTCCGTTTTACAGATTTGAGCTTGAGTTGGTGCAGCAGTAGATCTGTTGTGAAAGAGTCTAGAAGGTGGTTGGCAATTTGCATTCCTTCTAGTAATACTAGGTCTGTAATTAATAAATTGTAGGTTTTGTCTTTCATCAGCCTCCTGCTTGTCTGTGTGAGACCTTTAACTATCGATCACACCTAAATCCAACAATTTTCAGTCAGGTCATCTGGACAGTTTCTTTTTTTGTAGAAACGTTTCACCTTCCATCCAGAAGGCTTCATCAGTCAAGGAAACACACAACACAAAACTGATTCTTCCCCCAAACAGCTTACGCCAAAGTGGAACAAACCAGTTAAGTTGGTGCTAAGATGGTGTCTTTGGCACGCCCCCTCCTTTTGTGCCAGCCCTCTTCCTCGTCCACAGTCATGTCAAACTGGTTCAAAACCAAAAACTGACTGATGAAGCCTTCCGGATGGAAGGTGAAACGTTTCAGCAAAAAAAAGAAACTGTCCAGATGACCTGACTGAAAAATGTTGGATTGTGTACCTGGATTATTGAGCATGGACTTTTTTGGTATCACACCTAAATGTTGCAGCAACACACAGTCTGAAGCAAACAATAATACAGTTATTTTATTATCTGCACCAAACTGCGTTGCCGTTGGTGTTTTATTTTTTTAATTTAGTTACATTTAGGGAACATATTGTGTCTTTGCGACAGATTATTAATGTGCTGAAAGCTTCACCTTCAAGTAGATTTTTCTTGCTAATTTTTAGTGTGTTGCCAGAACCATGAGTTTAGATGTCTTTTTACACCTGGATGATTCCTTACAGTAGTTTTAGTCAGGTACCAAACAGAAAGCAAGCAGCCATAAAAATAAACTTTAACAAACTCTTTCTAGCCTTTGCAGGATTACATTCGGGGAGCAACATCCAAAGAAGTGAGGGACGTTTGCACAGTCGTGCTGCTTTGTTCACTTGAACAAAACGTTACATTTGTCGGCCCTTATTTTACCGTTTGGCGTGCACAAGCATTTTTCTGTGCGTTTGTGGGAGTTTTGACACGGTTTCATGAATTCTCTCACTGTGTGCACCTGTGAATGTTTCCTTACGGTGTTCCCTTACAGTCACACGAATGCACGAGAGACACGGACTTCCTAGTGAAACTGCCAAACAGCATCTTTTGTTTATTTTGTGTAAACCTGTGTGTGTGTACATCGAGGGTGTGACCCCTGGCGCTCGCCTGGCTGACTCAGCCGTTGGACATTCATCTTTGGGTGCAAGCGAGCGTTTCGTCTCTTGTCTTTCAAAGGAAACAAAAGTCAAAGGGAAGGTGCGGGTTTAGATTAAAAATGCATACACACACACACACACACACACACATAGCATGCACTGACTCACACCAGATACAAATTATTAAATGAGTGTGTTTGTGTGTGTGTGTGTGTGGGGTGATTCTCAGTTTTTTCTTTGGTCTGTCACTCAGATGCAGACTTTAAATCCAGATTGCATGCACTGTCCACTTGTGCAGCCACACACACTTACACAGCACAAAGCACATCTATAAACAGAGCTGTCCCTGTGTGTGTGTGTGTGTGTGTGTGTGTGTGTGTGTGTGTGTGTGTGTGTGTGTGTGTGTGTGTATCTCTCTCTCACACACATACACACTTCATAGGTATGTGTAACATCCTCTCTCCAGGCTCCACCCTCAGTCCCAGAGCACAGGCTGGTTGACCTGGGAGGAGGAGACAGCTGAGGTGTGTGTGTGTGTGGTGTGTGTGTGTGTGTGTGGGGGGGGGGGGGGGGGGGGGGGGGGTGTACTGAGCTGAAATCCATTTCTGCTGCTGCTGCTGGCGGCGCGGCTCATTGCAAAGGCGTAAGGAGACGCACAAAGAGCAGAGACGCACATTTTGCCTGGACCCTGATCATAAACTGCTGGGAACTACAGGACCAATACAGAATGCCTCTATTACTTTGACAAAAGGAAAAAGTTGATTTTTTTTATTTTTATTTTTTTTTGTCCTGGCAGATTCAGTCAGAATCCAGCTGATGTTCCTCTGAATGAAAAACAAAACAAAACATTGCATCCAAACACTGAAGAAGTGAATATTTTGGAGGAAATTCTAACCACCAAAGTAGATCAAAAGTGAGTAAATCTCTTTTTTATTTTAGTCAGTAATGAGTTTTTAAATAACTTTTTAAATTTTTATTTACAGCCATATTTATTTTGTGTGTGTGTGTGTGTGTTTCCCTCTGCTTGCTAAAAATAATTAGTGACCTGAAACTTTCACTCTACCTGCACAAATTTAATTACAAACTAATCTAGGTCAGCCACTCTCTGTATGCACTGGAAAAAGGAATGGCACTTAAGCTCCGTGTGCATTATTTATTATTTATCTTTTGTTTGAATCAGTGAAGGTTTTCTTGCTGTTTATCAGATAATGCTCTCGCCACCGGCTTCATCTTTATATGCTGAGCCTTTTATTCTGAAATTCTCAAATGAAACAAAATGTATCAAATTTAAAAATTTGAATAAGTGAAAAAAATCCAGTTCGGATGACCCATTCAGATAAAAAACAACAAGTTGTACACCTGCATGCACTGTTCACCTGTATTAGGCTGATTATATGAAATAAAAAAATCAACCTTATCGTTAAGCATATCCAAGTATGAATATTTACTTTAAAAATGATCATTTAATCAGTTTTTCTGCTTCAAATGATGGAGTTTCCAAATTGTAAAACTAAAGATGGTTATGTTTTGTTTTTCTGTTCAACTTTCAGCCTTAATTTCATTTTTTTTATATATATTTTATGTACATGTAAAAGTGCTTGATTGGAAGTAGTCTAACATAAATTAGTTTATTTCCGTTAATTAAAATAAAAACAGCTTAGAGCTCGTTGGTGTGACCTGCTGTTGCATGTATATTTAATGGCCTGTAACAATGTTGCCTCTTCGTGCTTTGTGTTGTAGCCAAACAGAGCGAAGGAACACGACACACATGAGAACAACTACCATGCACTGACAACAAGGTAGGCGACAAAGGCTTCCACTTACCTTGAGGAGGTTTCTGTTCTCTCTGCATGAGTATTTTTGTGTTTGACCATGGGCGTGTCCTGCCCATATTCTGAAAGGACAATTAAAGGTCTTTAGCTGACAGAGGAGATTTGTTATCCCAGCCTGGCTGAGTGTCTGTCCCGTTTGTTTGATTTGTCAACGTCTCATTGATTTATTGCCCGACTTCAAAGGAAGATTAACCAAACAGAGCTGCCTCTTCATTGACAGTGAAGCGATAATTGCAGCGTTTTCCATGTAAAAACTTTTGTCTTCATGTCATCAAATATGGTCGGCAAACAAGTATTTGAAACTTCTATCAGAAAGCTAACATTGCTCACAAAGTGTAATCTGCACACCCTCCCAGGTTAAGATCTATAACAGGCACAAAATCACATTCTTGATTGCAGCCTCCATCAAGAAAAAGTCTAACAACCACGGCTATCAGACTGGTTTCAGATGTTTTCATCAGATCTGACCATGGCAGCTGCTGAACTCCAGGCCTGTTTCAGTTGCAGCCTGCTTTTCATTCTGCAAGGGGGAATACTCTGAATTTTAGATCAGCTGAGTGACGTCCTGCTTTGTAAAGTGGCACAAGTTTGCTGCTGGTGTGCTAGTTAATGATACATGACAAGAAAAACAGACAGTGGTCTCATGAACGGTCATTATCAGTGAACGCTAAGGGAACTTGGACCTTCTTCGGGACCAAACTTTGTGCCCACTGGAGTGGAGAACGAAAACAAAACTTGATGCCACTTCACTGAACAAAAAACAGAACGAAGACGTGGTCAAAGGATGAATCGAGAGCAGCGCCTCATGGGCCTGCTGGATTAACGGTTAACAGGTTGCTTGGCCTGGCAGCTGGGAGTGCACAGGGCGATCTGAGTGACACAAATTGACAGAGATGAACAAGTCGTGAATGGAGAGACGTGATTCTGATTTTTAATGAGTACATCAGGTGCGTCACATCTGGCTGCATGAATATATTTACAGGATCCAGGTGTCATTGATCTGAGTCATTCAGAAGGTAAATTTATACTTTGTGTGTGTGTGTTGAGCCAGCGTTGATCTAATTATATGTGTGGGTTCAAAGAAGAATGGATGGTCAGGGCAGCTCATGCAGATGAAACGCCAAACAGCAACACTGGTGGCACCGAATGACTCATCCGAGCTTTTATTGTGTAAGAATCTATTTATCAATGTGTAAATCTTCCTGCTATGTTAGGAAGAAAAGCATATTAGTGATACGCCTGTTTAGGATGTTCTGCCTCGCTGAACTGATTGGACCGCTTTAATCCTGCTTTAAGCTGCCGGCTCCTATTAAAGAGAACGAGATTTAAAATCATCTTATGCTGAGAAGTAGAGCTCAAAGTTTGTGTTGCGAATGACTCTCAGCTACTACCACCCCAAATAGATCAACAACTAAAACTGAGCTGTTTTTGTGTTTGCCATGGCTCCTTATCTGGGGAGGTTATTTTATATTAGATTGGCTCTAATTTAACATAATTAGAACTATTAGTTAATTAGTGGTTCCTTCCTGAAGGTTTCATTAAAACCATTCAGTGTTTCACGAGATATTCTGCAAACAGACAAACAGAGTCGACTCGATTTATTCTACAATTTTAAGCAAATATCTTGCTCAGTGAGTAGCACTCGGAGTGTGTGTTGAGAATAACTCTCAGCTGCAATCACAACAAGCTTTAGCATATTCGTAGAGTTGACTAAATTTCAGCCACTTTGGTGTTTTCTAAGGTCTGTGGCAGCCATTTTGAATTAGATTGCCTCCTGAAGTTAATCAGCTGTAGAAGTGCATGTGACAATTATTTCCAGAATGTTTGACTAAAATGAATCCAGTAGTTTATGAGCTATTTTGCTAACAGCAGACAAAATCAAATCCACTGATTTGATAGCATAACTTTAGTCAAATAGATAAAGCAATCAGTTAGCCTTCATAAAATGTGTTGGAGATCACTCTCAGGTACTGTCACAACCAATTTCAAACATATATCGGTGGAATTGGCTGAGCTGAAGCTATTCTTGTGCTTTTTAAAGTCCGCTGGCTGTTGCAGCCATCTTAAACCATGGTGGACTGCAAAAGTTAATCCGTCGTAGATGCACATCCACTGATTACATTTTGCTAATGTCATTACAATCCATCCAGTGGCTCATGGAACAGTTTGCTAACAGACAAGACAGAATTCTCTCCAAAAAGAAAATGGCAAAGCGGACACACATACAATTATTAGCCATGTCTGAGATTCTCATCGACAAGAGTAGAACTATCTTGAAAAGAAGAATGTAGGTGGAGCAGGTTGATGAAAATAACAGGTGACAGAAAAAATAGAAACGAGGTAGGAGAGAAGCTTAGAAGGGGAGTTTGCAATATGTTGTTTTGGTTCACGCTGGGCTGCTAATGAGGACGGAGAGGTTCCCATCGATCAGACCGGGTCGGACATTGTCAACGGAAACTAATCAAGGGACTGACAAGCTCAATCAAGACAAGAGAGGCAGCAGGGAAAGTGACTGATCTTTAATTATGTTTGGATTACAGCGCAGAATGTCTGAGCACCTGTTCGTTAGCAAAATATCTGTCTCTGAGTGGCTCAGATTTGAGATAGTTGAGCCGGTTTATTGCAAATTCCTTTAAAAATTTACGTCTCTGACTGAGATTTAATGTGTTTACGTTTATTTGGAGTCAGCTTTACATCTGAATTCTACAATGTGTTTGATTCCTTGTAAAGTTTCAAAACCTTCGACCCTTAATTCACCATATAAAATGTGAATGGAAAAAAAGATCTAGACAAAATAATAATAATAATAATTATATATATGTATATATATATATATATATATATATACATACACACACAAATTCAATAAATCAAATGTCATATCTGAAGAAGTAGCTAAATGATGTTTGTGCTGATGTTCAATGTTTTATGTTATGAGTGCTTAGTGTATATTTAGTTGATGTTTTTCTTAGTTCATATCTTAGATGTTATTACTGTTTTTCTTAGACATTTTATTGTTGGATGTAACTGGGACCCTGTGTACATAATTTCGCTCCACCACATGTACCACATGAGGTGCGAATGACAATAAAGAAACTCTGACTCTGATGATGTAATTCAGATGGGAACAAAAGAAAGATTGAAACTTTATTTTATCAACTTTTATGGTGGTTTGAAAAAAATAATTAAAAAATGGCAGATATTTTGAAACATGATGTTTTTGAGTTTTCTGGGCCTTGTTTCTTGTGTTTTAGTTTCCTTACTTGTTTTTATATTTGCAGTCGGTGAAAGGTTTGGATTGCAGGAAGGCCAAGTTAACAACTAAACAATGTTAGGAAACATTCAGTGATTATGAATTTTAATTTTTGTTCTTTTTAATATAACTGTAGGAATCTAGAACTTTTGTGGTGATTTTTTTTTTGACCTTTGGAAGGAATGAACCTTAACCTTTTGTTTCAGAGATGAAGATTTTTAGTTTGAACATACTGCATTTTATGTTTTTGCTTGAGTGTGCGTATGGTGGTGGTGGGGGGAGGGGGGCTTGTCTGTCGTTCTAGCAAAATATTCCCTAAACCACTTGATAGATTTTAATTCAAGTCTCAGAAAATAATGAATGTCTCTTCATGTGGAGCTGATTCTCCTTTAGAGTCAATCCAATTCAAGATGGCTGCCACGGCTCATCGACCTGCGTAAACACAAAAGTGTCTTTAAATCAGTCAGTTTTACAGACGTTGAGCTAAAGTTTGGTGTGGTAGTAGCTGAGAGTGATCCACAACACATACACTGAGCACTGACAGATTGGATGAGATCTCATGCATAATATTATTTTCAAGGTTTGACCAAATTTGCTTTGAAACATATGATGAATGTATTTTAAAACTCTGGCATAAAATGTGGCGGGCGACATGCATTTCATCAAGGAATACTAAAAACTTTTGTTTTTTAATGCACCTTTTTGCTTTCTGACTTTATTTACTACATCCACAATATCCCAAGCTTTTAGTAAGAACTGCATTTCCAAGCCGAAATGTCCTGCATTCTATTTTAAATTGAACCCAGCAAACTTTTTTCCAAATTAAAAAAAATTTTTTAACAAGAATTTACACTGCGTTTTTGATTCAGTACCCTCACTGCATACATTGTTTTAAAAAGTACAACGTCTGTAGCTTAACAACAAGAATTTGTACTACAACTCATCAAAGAGATGAATGTTTCGACTTTTAATACACCTCTTTGAAACATCTGGATATTTACTTTTGTAATAGTTTTAGAGGACTACACTTTATAACGTAGCATAGCTGGAACATGATGTAGTTTGTTAAGAAAATGACCAAAACATGTGTGAGCAAAGGATGACAGAGTTGTTAAAAGATAAAGTATGAGTAGTTGGTCCTCATAACATTTTTTCTTCTTTTTATGCACTTCAACAATCTGTTTCTGTCATCCCTGAGGCTTGGTGAGTTTGAGCCCCATGTGCAGGAAAGTATAAGATGGAAAGCAAAGGACATGAAAATGGATGATTGCACACCAGTTTGCCCGTGGAGAGGAAAGCAGAGGGAGGGTTGTGGGGTGGGGGGGTTCTGACTCCATCATTAATCAGACTGAAAGCTTTAAAGTAAAGAGAGGAAGCAATGCAGTGGACTAACTACTAAAAGCAGTGTTTACAGTCCATCCAGCAATGAGAGATGAGATAATTTGTGCTTTACATTAAGTCAGCCAGGAATAAAATAAAAATGGGTGTTGTGATGTGCTTGGAATACATTAAACAGCATCTGGCAAAATGTTCTGGACACATGATGTTCTCTCACTATGTAGATATGAATTTCCTCCTCAGAGGCTGGAAACAACAGCAGACATGGTTTGGAGCTGTGCACAGGTCAGGCTTTACTGTAGCTGTTCCACTGGACCACATAAAGACAATCCATCCGAGCACAAGCAAATGAACCTGAAGCAATGCCCTTCAATAGTTTAGAACCCAAAGAGCCAATGTCAGACAATACACACTGCTGTGAAGAAAGATGTGCAACACGCAGGTCACATCCACACATCCAGGTCATTCAATCAGAAAATAAGCTTTGATACCATTACTGTCAGCCCCCTTACAAATATTTTGTTGACATACAATTCATTATATGATGTTGCATGATAGGAAAAAATACCACAAGGTATGATATGCTGCAGGCAGCACAGTGATGCAGTTGGTAGAACTACTGCCTCTCATTGAGCAAGTTGCCCTGGTTCAAATCCCGATCAGGGGCCTTCTGGTTGTTTGCATGTTCTCTCTGTGCATGCATGGGTTTTCTCTGGGTACTCTGGCTTCCTCCCACAGACCAAAAACATGCATGTCAGGCTGATTGGTAACTCTAAATTGTCCCTAGGTGTGAATGAAAGTGTGAATGGTTGTCTCGTTTGTCTCTGCCCCTGTGGTGGACTGGAGACCTGTCCAGGGTGTCCCCCGCCTCTTGCACAGTGATAGCTGGACATGGGCACCAGTGACCCCTGCAACCCAAAAAAGAAGAAGCGGGTAAAGATAATGGATGGATGGATGGATGGATGGATGGATGGATGGATGGATGGATGGATGGATGGATGGATGGATGGATGGATGGATGATGTGATGCATTGTGATACAATATGTATCCTGTATCAATATGATACAACAGGATACAATATGATACAACAGGATACAATATGATACAA